TCTCTTCCCCTCCCCGACTTTCTTCCCCCTCCTCACCTGTCTCTCGCCGCCGCCACTGCTGGGCCTCTCCGGCCGTTCGGTTCCTTTCCCGCGCACGGAAGCCAGGTAGGTCGCAGAGCGTTCCGTGCGCATGCGCACAGAACGCTCTGGCACTCTCGGGGGGATTTAAACATCCCCCCGAAAGTTTTTTCAACATTTAGCATTTTTGTGCACACGTGGGGACCGCCCCACATGTGCACAAACCTCTCCCTCCCCCCCAAGTGCCCCCGATGTCCGGATCTAAGGATCCGCACAGAGGGGGCCAGTTCAGTATTAGATATATAGATAGTTACATCAGTTAAAACAGCAATTAGTACAGTACTAGAAATATCACTGCAGACGGTGACAGCAGCCATGAAATTAAAAGCCGCTTGTTCCTTGGGAGGAAAGCTATAGCAAACCTAGACAGCATATTAAAAAATTTTATTTAAAAAATAAAAAGGGACGGCAAAGGATGAGATGGTTAGACAGTGTCATAGATGCAACGAACATGAAGTTGAGCAAACTTCAGAGGACGGCGGAAGACCGGAAGGCCTGGCGTGATCTGGTTCATGGGGTCGCGAAGAGTCGGACTCGACTGTGCGACTGAACAACAAGAAATATATAAGGTTCCAGCTATACTAAATGATTAAAAAAACGAGGCCCTAGAACCAGGAGTGATGATAGATCTCCTTAAAGTTGTCCCAAATCCCGTTGGTGGGGGGAGGGGGTTCAGCAAGGGAGGCTGAATGATTGGGTGCTCGCTGCCTCAAGTGTAGTGAAAGTGTAGTGATCAAATGTAGGCAAGTGTAGTGAGAGTGTATGATCTGCTCAAGCCTGTCTTGACTGTGGCTGAGGGCCCCTAAAAAGGCAGGGCATTAGCCCCCGTATAGTGGTGGTGGTGGAGGTGCACATGAAAAGAGTCTCCCAGCACCAGATCCATAAAGGCCAGTCACTCCATTACCAGTTGCAACTCAGTTGGGGGGGTTGTGGCAAAGGTCACCAGTGCATGACTACACGCTTGCATCCTGCTCCCCTCTCCCCTGTCCTGCACTGAAAACCCTTCAAAATGTGAGGGAGACCTCCTTACATGAAAAGAACATTTGCTGCCGCAAATTCAGATTTGTAAGATTGTCCAGATATTATGCCTTGCCCTTTTTATGTGTGGTATGGTCAATAAAATGTGAGTGGTTTGTTGTGCTATATGGGTTTGCTTCTGAAAAGCATCTTGTTCAGTGTGATGGCCATTAATTGACCAGGACCAAATCTTCAGTCTGCACCCAAAAGCAACTGGTTTTGTGATAGTTGATTGTAAGGGACTTAGTTTCACAGTATGAGGAGAGCTTCCCAAGAGCCCTCCTCAACCCTGCAGGGGCTCTGGAGAGCAACACTGTGTCATCCATATATAATAACATGGTACCATCCTATTGGCGAGTCTAGGGGGATGGACTTCTGGAGTATTAAACCAGCTAGATAGATTGTTTATATAAAAGATAAACAATGCCGGTGCTAGCAGGCAGCCTTGCCTGATGCCTCTGTAGGTTTGAATGGGCTCAATAAGATGTCCTTGTCTGCTACATCTGACTCTCAGAAAAGTTTGTTCATGTAAGGCCCGTACAAGATATAGGAATCTTCTATCAATAGATGAATTTGTTAGTTTGTCCCAGAGTCTCTAGATACATAATCAAATGCAGTTTTGAAGTCAACAACGGCTGCGTAAAGTGAAGTTATTGCCTTGGATGAGTATTTCTTGATGAGGTGTTGGATAATCAGGCATTGGTCTATCGTGGATCTCTCTAGGCTAAAACCCGCCTGTTCTGCCACTAAAATGTTCTCTTGTTCAAACCAGATCTGAAGTTCTGAAGTTTAACAATGATATCTTGTTTCTGGATTTCCCATCCTATAATCCCATTTTGATGCCATCCCATGCATTCAAAATGCTTACTATAATACCTCCAGGAGTCTAAAAAGCCATTTGCAGTGTGGTTATAGCAGTAGTATGCTGCAGGTCAAGAAAGCTGTATAGGGGGTGTTCTTGGCTTGCATGACTTAACAGAGCATTTAGGGTTGGAGCTGCTATGACTGTTTGTTATTGATCATCATCTTTGTGTGTATTTTTGTTATTGGCAGTTATTGTAATACTATTTTAAAATGGAAATCTTGGATTTTTTTTCTTAGACTGAAAAGAAGTGTGTGCTGTTCAAGGCCGCTGCTGCTAAACACCAGTTTTTGTACCGTTTTGCCATGACTGGTGCTGGTATTGATCGTCACCTCTTCTGTCTTTATGTGGTGTCTAAATACCTTGCTGTTGAATCTCCTTTCCTTAAGGAAGTGAGTAATTAAATAACTTGTACTGATCAAGTAAATAAGTGAGAATTATGTGCATTGTCAAAGAAGCAAAATTTCCAGAAATAAGAACACAAGAACATAAGAGAACCCAATGCTGGATCAGGCCAATGGCCTATCCAGTCCAACACTCTGTCACACAGTGGCCAAAAAAATACCAGGTGCCATCAGGAGGTCCAGCAGTGCCTCCCCCCCCAGCACCAAGAATGCAAAGCATCACCTGCCCCATACTGAAAGTTCCTATCTATACCTTGTGGCTAATAGCCACTGATGGACCTCTGCTCCATATGTTTATCCAGTTCCCTCTTGAAGCCATCCATGCTTGTAGCCGCCGCCATCTCCTGTGGCAGTGAATTCCATGTGTTATCTTGCAAAATGGAACAAAGCTTTTTCTGGGAGAAAACAAATTTGGGAGAAAGGTTAAATTTAACCAATACTTATATTTCATATGGTTAAAAGTACTGTATTATGTAGAACTTAGCAGGTAAATATATGAAACAGGTTTTTAAATTAAATTTATTACTTTCAAGCGACTACAAACGTATCAGGTTCAGAGGGCTAACAGTAAACACAGTACTGTAAGGTACCTAAGTCCATTTTTAAAAAAATTGTCAGTTGGAAAAATTATTTAAAGCAGAAACCGTCAACACTGCAGTAAACAGAAGGAAGGTTTTCATTATCTATGAATCTAAACTTGTTCTTTCAAAGCTACGAAGTACTCAAATAATTCCACCTGTCCAAGCAGCCTCCCTTGCTCCATGGCAAACCGTGGACATCAATTCATTCCTCAAGCCACCCCTGCCCAGCTTGTAGTTTAATAGAGACAAATTTAATTGTTCTGAACTCACATTTATCCCCTATCTGAATGGCTAATCAACGTTACTTAACTTTCCTCCAGTCTGGGTGAAACGCCAAGCGAGGCATGATAGAGGAGCTTCTCTTTGCTCAGGTCCCCTGCTCTTCACTCAGTGGCCAGTCTCTTTGGAGCACAATACACTCAAACACATTTCAGTTGCAGGGATCCTCCTTTTCTCCCTCTGCTGCTGGTGCTAAAGCCATGTCACCATCCATGCTACCTCTAAGCTGTGGAGTCTTGTGAGCAAAAATTCTACTTTGTGAGTTCCTGGCATTAAAGCTGTGAGTGAGCGATTTGGCTATTGCGTAAATGAGTTTGCTCTGGAGCCGTCCTTCCCGAGCTAAGGCAAAAATGTGTGAGCCGGAGGCTAAAAATCTGAGAGCCAGCTCACACTAACTCAGCTTAGAGGGAACACTGGTCACCATGGTCCCCAACGCTTTTGAGCCTGCAGGCGCCTTTGGAATTTTTGAGCCAGGGCGACAGACACCACCACAAAATGGCTGCCACAGGAGGCAGAGCCAAGCACACATACACACAAAAGAGGGGTGGGGGTGGGGGAATACAAACACAGAGCAGAAGATGACTAGTGGGGAGAAAGGGAGGATAAAACAGAGATAATATGACGAAGAGCACAAGGGGGAGTATCGTACACACACAACACAAAGATGATGATGATAAAGGGTGGGGGATAAAACACACACACACTGAAGACTACCAAGGGAGGAAAAGGGTGGATAAACACACAAACACACAAAGATGAAGACTACCAGGGAGGGGATAAAAACTCTCACACAAGCATCCCCATGGCTGGGGTAAAGGGAGCATTAAATCACAGTGTCTTAGTCAGGGGTCATTTCGTAGAAAAAGAGCTGCAGGAGCTCATTAGCATAACTCATTAGCACAACTTATTTGCATATGCCACACCCCCTGACATCACCGGAAGTGTGTCAGGAGGCAACACCCACCGCTCAGGCTCCACTGGACTGTTTTGGATTGCTAGCTATTGGGGGGGGGGGAGGAACGTGCAGATCTGTCCTCGCAGAGGAGGGAGAGCTTGCACCTGAATAAAACTTGGTCTTAAAGGTGCCACTGGACTGTTTTGGACCAGGGGCTGGTGGGGGGCTCTGCAGCTTACCTGGCTGCTTTTTGCTCTGACTGAGGGCTGCTGGGAGCAGGGGGTGGGGCTTGTTGCATGTGCCCGCCCCCTGGCCTCTTTACTGCCGGAGCTCCGCTCCTGTGCACTCCTGCAGGAAATGAGCCCTGGTCTTAGTGTTCCTGACATCTCTTTCTGTCCCTGACAGCTGTCTGAGTACAGCATGAGGAAGTCCAGCTCTCCTCAAAAGCAGAGCAAGGAGTAAATTGGACAAGAACTTGACTCCTACTTGTAGTTACCACCCAAACTATCAGCTGCATGTTCACTACTCCGCTCTATAACTCTCCTTGTATCCCGATGCCATATTTTCCTGCACTTGCTCCACATCATTGGTCATTAAGGTGTGTGTGGGGGGGGGGAATAGGCAGACCAATATGAGAGTATAATAAAGATAAACTCTGCTGGATGTTATAGAGTGGGAGCTAGACGAGCAGCTGCTATTTTCAGTGAGAGATGTTTAATTTGGTGTCCATTTTAGCCCTGACTGGCAGGTTTTCTTGCCCTGCAAGAGATCTGCTCACATGAAAATTTAGCTGTAGTGAACTTACTGCTCTGATGAAAATCTAAGCACGCTGGTGTTCTAGAGTATTTACATGACTCACACTCTGCCAATCACAACTGATATGCAATCTCTGTTTATTCCAGTACAAATGTAACAGCAGCATCATTGTTCGTTGACTTACTTCCATTGGCAAAACTTCCATACTACCATGCCTTTGCTGGAAATAAAAGGTAAATGGTAAAGGTTTCCATTGCTTGAAAGCTAGTCAAATTCGACTCTAGGGGGCGGTGCTCATCTGTTTCCTAGTCGAAGAGCCAGCACTGTCCAAAGACTTCTCCATGGTCATATGGCCAGCATGACTAAACGCTGAGGCACATGGAATGCTGTTACCATCCCACCAAAGCAGTACTTATCTACTTGCCATTTCTTGCTTTCGAACGGCTAGGTTGGCAGGAGCTGGGGCCAGAGATGGGAGCTCACTCTGTCATGCGGCACTCGGGTCTCGAACTGCCAAACTACAGACCTTCCAGTCTGCAGCTCGGCGTCTTAACCTCTGAGCCCCCACCGCCCCTTTGCTGGAAATAGCAATGCCAAAACAAGACAAAATTAGTGCAGAAGAAAGGGATTATTTAAGAATCTCTCTTCTCCACTTCCCCAGTTATTTGGTCCTGTGGAATTAATATTTGTTACAGTGGAAGTTTTCTAGTTTCAAAGCAGCAGTTTTATCACATGTTGCAACCAGGTCTCAAATGTGCTACTGGATTTTCATGTTTTCATTTACTTTTGTTAGGTCTTGGCAGAGCCCTGGAGACTTTCAACAAGTCAGACACCGCAACAGCACATTGACCTGAACAAGAATCCTGAAATGGAGTCCAGCGGTGGTGGCTTTGGACCAGTAAGTTGAATGTCTGAAGGCACCTGGTTTTGAGAGAGGCTGGTACCACTGTATCAAATGACTGTGCCAATATATCATGTCTGGTGTAATATTAAAATAACCAATGTAACTAACTGGCACGGACACCAAACATGTTCTGATCATTTCCGTGCTTATAAACAGTCATGCTGTCTGTAGGCTTTAAGCATTCATCTCTAAGTAGTAGTAGTTGCACAAATGAGCTGTGAATTAGGAACACACAGAGCCTTTTTCTTTCTTTTTTTTTGGAAAAGGGGTGCCAGAACTCTCAAGAGGGAAATGAAGTTTTCAATCTGTATACTGAAAACTCACGAACTTTTAAACATTTTTAAAAGAATTTTGTCAAAGAGGTTCTGGAACTCTGTTCTGGTGTGTTCCCCCTGAAAAAAAGGCCCCGGGAACACCACAGTGGAAATCACACTTCATGGCAGAATGGCAGTTTGAAGGTGGATCTGCCAGAGCCTAGTCCAGCATTCTACACACTATACCAGTGATGGCGAACCTTTTAGAGACCGAGTGCCCAAACTGCGACCCAAAACCCACTTATTTATCGCAAAGTGCCAACACGACAATTAACCTGAATACTGAGGTTTTATTTTAGAAAAAAACAACTCATACATTAACTTAAGAGGATCCAAACAAAGAAAGGAAAGCAATCCCAAATGCTTTCATTGACTTAAAATTATTTGGCAGAGAATTTGACATTTTAATGATGGTCTGGGCCTGGCTGGGGCGATGGCACGCGTGCCCACAGAGAGGGCTCTGAGTGCCACCTCTGGCACCCATGCCATAGGTTCGCCACCACTGCACTATACCATATTCGCTCTAAGAGTTATGTTTACAGAATAAAATTTACTTGTATATTTATGTGGTTCAAGTATTTTCTGTGTATTGTAATGATTTTCACTGGTTTTCATTTGAAACTATTTAATATACTGCTGACAGTGTCATACTGAACTTTAACAGTAAACTGGCTTTGGTTTCATGTGAACGGTTTCAATGGCATCAGAGCTGAAGCATTCTAAATGTGTTTTCAACAGGTTGCTGATGATGGTTACGGTGTGTCATATATTATCGTGGGTGAGAATCTCATCAATTTCCATGTATCCAGCAAGTTTTCTTGCCCAGAAACAGTAAGTGTTATTTATAAAATTTTATGTCCACCAATCCTATCACTATGTCTAATTGCTGAGAGTGCTTTTTTCGTTCAGTGTAAATTTGTGCTTAGGACATATTTTACAACACATATGTTCCAGAAAGCTGACTCTGCAGGACTGTATACAAAATAGCCTCTGTGTTTTGAGAAAAAATGTCTGGTATGTGTGGATACCATAGACTTCTCTTCCCCCAAATATGCACTCTATCTTGATCAGCGATCCCTGGTATGGTGCCCACTTGTACCATAGGGCCAACTGAAATGTTTCCTGGTATCCACTTACTGCTTCTTCAAAGCAAAGAACCTTTCCTAGCTTTCCTCCTCTTCACTGGAACTGAGGTATTTCAGAAGACTTCGGATATCTGTCAGGACCCACAGCTAAACAACGAAGTACATGCTTCCAGGATATAGGGCATTCGTATGCCCCCCCCCCAGCAATCACTAATTAGGTGGGCTCCCGCGCGCGGGAGACTGCTGGACTCCCTAACGGTTGCGAAGCTGGGAACGGAGAAGCTCCCACGGACGATAGACACCACAACCTCCACCAGTACAACATCAAAGATAAGCGTTACAGCTCTGAAGCTATTATGCGCATGGGAAGGAATGCAAAGCAATTAGAAAACATCTCCACACTCATGGCAGCATAGCTGACAATATCCAGGAATACGCAGGAAACACCTATTCATAAATAACTGCCCCCATCATTGCAGAATGTGGCAGAAGCGATCCTAAAATCTATATGAAGACTTCCCAACCTAAGTGAGGACCCTTGAAATTTTGAGAAAAGGCAGTGGGCCTCACCACGGAATGGCTGCTATGGGAGACAGGGCAAAAGGACTGCCATGGAGGGCAGACACAAAATTTTGAGAGACTGCAGGCTTGTAACTTGCTGAGGTCCTTATCAGTTGTCTTGGGAAATGCCTGGAGTTTCAGCATGAGCTGAATGGCTGTTGATGCTCCATAGCACACATCGAGCCTTGTCCACACCTCTTGCAGGGCTTTTGTAGGATCCATTGCATTCGTCAAAGCAAGGGTTTGAGCTTGAGCAGAGGAGTCTGGCCCCAGCCATGCTATCAGGTATGTGAGTTCCTCTTCTGGAGGCAGTCCTAGGTTCCCGACAACTCTTTGGAAGGTTTGCCTCCAAAACAGGTAGTCCTCTGGTAGTTCCGAGAACTTCTGGACCTTCCTTGCTGCCAGTTTGATCCATGGAGGCATTCTATTAGGTGGCTCGACAGCAGGCTTCATTTCTGATGCTGGGTTCCCATAAGCAGGTTGCTGATGAGTGGGTGGCAGCCCATCGGCCACGTACGCTGGCTGAGGTGCCATGTACATGGGCTGGTTTCAGTTCGCCATCTGTGCCGTCTAGTTCCAACTGGGCATCTCTGGTGCAAGAGGCGTACGTGTGAACACAGGAGCTGTAGGTACACAAGGCACTGCTGTAGGGACAGGAGTTGTGTTGGTAAAGACAAGAGTCATAGATGCTAGCGAGGTAGTTGCAGGAGTCACAGTCATTGGGTGATGCCAGGCATCATGAACCAGAGTGCCTTGACCTGAGGGAAACATCTGCATAGTTCCCGTAGCTCCTTGTTGATGCTGGTGTCCAACTTGTCCAGAGTCCGTGACTGCTCTGAATTCTGGGGCATTAGGGTTGGCCACTCGACTAGTACCTCTTGATGCTGGGACAACCAATGTTAAAGCAAGGGTCGGCACAGGATTTGCAGATGTTAGTGGAAGGGCTACAGACGTATGGCTTGGAGTTGCAGAAGGGATCTGAGGTGGAAAAGGTGGAGATGCAGATGCCACTGTCACCAAGGTTGTAGGCACCGGCAGTGCCACTAGTGCGTCAGTTAACTGGGCTGGTACGTGAGCGTGAGCTGCAGAACTCACTTGTGTGTGCATTGGCACAGCAAGCTAGAGTACCACAGGCATTACCTCTGATTGAAAGTTGTGTGTGAAAGCACTGTGTTCCACTACATAGGATAAAACTCTTTGGGCAGTGTCTTGAACCTCCAACTCCGCTAGATCAGGGTCTGGATCTGGCTCCCGAAGTTCGTCCTCGGCTGCCTTGGCACGAGCTGCAGTCTCTGCTGCTTCTGCCTCTCATTGTAGTGCTTCTTTCTCTACTCGGAGTCTGGTAGCTTCCAGCTCCTTCTCGGCAGCGGCTAGTTCTTTCTCTGCGTGAAGCTGTGCAGCGGCTAACTCTAAGCGCTGTTGCCTCTTGGCAAACTCAGCTCGTTTGGCTGTGGCTGCGGCTTCTCCTATCAGCCTCGCTACTTCTAAGGCCAGTGCAGAAGACTGGACCTGTTAGAAGAACAGACACTGCTAGAAGTGTGGCAGGACGACTTTCCATGGACTGAGGGTGTCTTTAGATGCTGGCTAGTTCTTTCTCTGCGTGAAGCTGTGCAGCGGCTAACTCTAAGCGCTGTTGCCTCTTGGCAAACTCAGCTCGTTTGGCTGTGGCTGCGGCTTCTCCTATCAGCCTCGCTACTTCTAAGGCCAGTGCAGAAGACTGGACCTGTTAGAAGAACAGACACTGCTAGAAGTGTGGCAGGACGACTTTCCATGGACTGAGGGTGTCTTTAGATGCTGGCTAGTTCTTTCTCTGCGTGAAGCTGTGCAGCGGCTAACTCTAAGCGCTGTTGCCTCTTGGCAAACTCAGCTCGTTTGGCTGTGGCTGCGGCTTTTCCTTTCAGCCCCGCTACTTCTAAGGCCAGTGCAGAAGACTGGACCTGTTAGAAGAACAGACACTGCTAGAAGAGTGGCAGGACGACTTTCCATGGACTGAGGGTGTCTTTAGATGCTGGCTTCCCTTTGGGGCGCTGCTTGTGGGAGGCAGAGCTTGATTGGAAATGACTTTGAAGATGCTTCCATTCTCAGTGGATCCAAGAAGTATTAACTCTTCCTCCTTGATCCGTACCTCCAAGTTATACTGAGTGTCCTTGGCGTGTTTGCGCCATGCCTTTACCTCCTTGTGAAGACAGTCCAATTCCTCTGTGGCCTCATTCGAGTTCAGCCGATCTAGGATTCCATGTATACGAGCAGCGCGTGAATCCCACTTCACTATCTGGGTTGTCAGCTGCTCCTGTGCATGGTGCATGTCTTCCAAATTGGTTATGCTGGTGAGCGCATCCAGACTCTCCTCCACCTTTCTCCAGGCACCCTCTGTACAATCTCTATTTCTCTTCAGTCAAATGGTCACGCATCGTGCGGGTCAGAACTTGCACCCGGCCTCGCGACATATATGTAATCTCATCCTCTGCTCTGATTGCTGTGGTGGAAGCAGGTGTTTTGCTGATTGCTCCTGTTGCCATCTGTTCAGGATTTGAAACCATGTCCATATCGGGTTGTGCTTCTGCAGCTGCACCTACAGTGGTCTCTGATGTGTCTTCCATAACTTCTCTTTTGCAAGCTACAGTTTAAAATTACTTAAATTGCACACTAATTGCTCCAGTGTAGATTTTGCGCCAAAATTGCTGTTCTAGAAATTCCAAACTCCGCCACTAGATGTCTCTGGTGCACTCCCTCACTAACTTGTCTGCAATGCTTTCCTTCTCAATGCTTGTTGCTAACTGAGATCTCTCGTTTGGGAAAAGACTGATGCTTGGGGTCCCGTTTATCTGTGGAACTTTTGCAGCATGCAGTCCCTTTTCCTCCTTTGAGAGCTTGCTTTCAGTGTACTAGGCAGTTAAGAGAAGCAGGGGCCAAAATCTCAACTTAGCAGGCGTGCATGCAAATAAAGCTGAAACCAGGGAGCACGCCACTGTGGCTGTCCACAGCATTGCCTGCAGCCTCATCAAACCATGCAAGCCCCCTCACCATGGCAAAGCCGTGATCCATGAGAGGGGTGAGACTTCTTGTGGCTTATTTTAGGAAAATTAAATTAGATATTTTGATAAATTACTATACCTTCTCTGGATAGAACTTGGAGCAAATGTTTATTAAAAACCAAATGTAGAAAGTATATTTTGCCTGACCTGGCTGGCCCAGGCTAGCCCGATGTCATCAGATCTCGGAAGCTAAGCAGGGCCAGCCTTAGTACTTGGGTGCAGCAAACCGAGGAAGTCCAGGGGTTGCTACACAAAGGCAGGCAATGGCAAAACCACCTCTGACTACTACACAAAGGGTGGCAATGGCAAACCACTCTTGCAATAAAAACCCCATGAGGGGGTTCACCATAAGTCAGCTGCGACTAGAAAGCAATTTCTACTGCCACCAGAAAGTACATTTGGTACTTTAACTATTCTTCACTTCCCTTTAATACATTAAGCTGTATTGTTCTTCTGTCTTAATTTGTATTAACAGAAGTAGACCATTCTCTTAAACGCTATAGGTATAAATTGTTATTGTATTTGTATAATGTGAATTACTGGTTTTATGATTTGGGATAAAAATCTCGTTTGAAAGAGAAGAGAGGTTAGTATTGGCCCCTGCCACACGGGGGGGGGGGAGCACGGGCAAAGTGCGGCTTTTTAAACCCGCACCAAAAGAGACACGTGGCAGCGGGATCACATAGATCCCCTGAGCCACCGCGCACTTCCTCCCCGGCATGATCAGATGCTGGGGGGAGGCCACTGAAAGGGGAGCGAGGCAGCCAAACTGCGCATGTGTACGCATGCGCAGTTTGGCCGGGAGCCTGGTTTACAACGGGTGCGGCGGCGATCCCACGGCCGCGCTTGATGCAGCGTTCCCGGTAAGTCCTCCTCTGGGGGTGGTTCTTTTTTACTGCGGGTTTTCGGCCTGAAGGGCTGGATCGGGGATGGGTGCGCGCCGCTTCCCAGATGTTGCGGTGAGATCGCGCCCGTTTGCTGCGCCCCAAATCCGTCCCTCTCCCAGGCCACAACCTTCCGTGTGACCAGGGCCATTGTCTGTTTTCTATAGAGCTAGCCTTCTAAAGCTCATTTGAATTGTAAAATATTTTTAGATTTTTAAACCTGTAGGAACCATCTTAACAAAACAGGTGTAATAATGGGGTTGACATTTCTAGCTAGCATCATTGGAAGCCTCCTCCACAGAGGCCAGAGAGAACTTTGCCATTTCTAATTCTCATGGCCTTGGGGGGAAGACATGAAATGATAACATTCATATCATCCTGGTTGTACTGTATTAACCTGTCTATGTACTATGTAATCCTGACGTATGAATGAGGGTTGGACCGAAGGTCTTGTAATTCCCAACTTTGTAGTGTTGCTTAGTTCTGCCAAAGAGTTTGACTTCACAGCAACTTTCCTGATTTCTCAATAAAGCCTGTTAAAGGAATTATTGCATCTGAGAGTTCCTGAAGAAGCTGACAAGTACTACCTGATTTCATTGGCTTTACTGGTTTTTGGTTTTTTTTTTGCATTTGTGTGTGTGTGTGTCCCATTGCGTGCACGCATGCACGCCTGTGCCTGGGAGTCATGGTGACCTCTGGCAACTCCTACTGGGGCATGGAGGACATTCAGAGAATGGCTTGATAGCCTACCTCTGGTATTCTTTGAAGGTCTCCCATCCGAATACTTGCCAGGTCCGAATACTTGCTTAGCTTCTGAGATCTGACGAGATGAGGCTTGCCTGGGCTATCCAGGTCAGGGTTTGTTTGTTTGTTTGTTTTTTAAATGAGAGGTCTATGCAGTGATAAATCTGGATTCTAATTCTTTCTCTTTTTTTGGTTTAGGATTCTCATCGCTTTGGAAGCAACATCAAGCAGGCTTTGTGTGACATCAGAAATTTGTTCCATCTTGGTAAAAACTCTACTAAGTGACCCCCCCAACCAGCACATCAGCTAGTCACCCTGTGCTCACCGCGATAACTCTTCTGATCAATGAATGAAAGAAAACGAGGCATGCAAAGCGGCATTTGGACATAATCCATACAGGGATATATTCATAAGCATTTAATCTTGGGAGAGTTGCCAGGGTTCGTGACTGTGATTGTTCAAAAGAGTTTTCTTTTCCACAACAAATGACTTGACATTCTCTGTATTAGTAAGACTTCAGCAAGGTGAAGACATGTATCCTAGGCCTGTCTTAATGTAATGTAAATTTGATAATTTCCTACAAAAAATCTGTTTATTTGTATTCTGTAAAGGAAGGGATGAATGAAATGTGTGTATATGATGCTCATAACAACAACAAAACACTTGTCTTGAAATGTACCAGTAGAAGAAATATATCTGTTCTTTTATCAGTGTGACAACTTGGGGCATTCACCTTAAATAAAGGCATTTCATTAAGCTGAACATTTTTTATAAAATATGGCAATCTTCCTGTAGTGAGCTAAGTGGAGAAACACTTTATTGCTTGGAAGAAGTTTCTGTTGCCACAGATGAGTAGTAAACCATTTGCACTACCTGAAACAGTGGCAAATTAATACTACTTTTATCATATTATTCCTGACCCCATGCATTTCCACATCTTCATTTAATTTTGTAAATGGACCTGTATGTGTGTTTCAGCACCTAAAAAGAGGTTCTAAATACAGAATACACAGTGGGTTATTATTTTATAGGTGAGTGTTCTATCTATAATCTGTTACGGCTGCTGAATTCACAGTTTACCTAATGGGGGTAAAAGTGAGCATATTTTCATATAGCATTGTACATATGTACCCACAAAAATGGAGATCTCTTCCAGGTCAATGAAATTTACTATTAGTCATGACATTTCTCTGAGCTTTAGGAACTGTAGCCATGAGATAAAAAACCAGCTGGACAATCCCCACCATATAAGACACAGCCTGACTGAAATACTGTACCTTATCCAGTCTCGTGCCTTAAGGAGTTCCCATCTTATGTGCAACCATGGTATATAGAGAAGGTCTTTATCATAATACATATTACACTATGATCCTCCAGATATGGACTATCTAATTCAAAGATGTTCAAAGAGCATCAGAGATTTCTAGAAAATATGTGTAGTGGGACTTAAAAATTAAAGCAGAGTGAGTGGCACAAAGTTAACACTTGAAGATGCAAGCATTATGAAAATCCTTTCTAAAGTATTTTAGGCAGTATTTGCATTAAACAAACCAAGGGTTTATCACAGCAGTTGCAGCTATCTTAATACAATGGCTATAAAAACATGCAACATCATTTGAGGCTTTAATTTTTAAAAATTCTGATGCTCCAGAGCTTTTAAAAACTAGAATGAATGGGGGAGAAATGTCTCTTTCATATTCACAGAACAGAATAACTTCTGTTTTGTATGGTACTTGGCCAATATGCTTTAAATGCCTTGGCTTGGGACATTAATGAAGAATCAGATACACAGTTCTGTAAGTAGTGGAATGCAATACTCCTGCAAGAGTGGTGGGACATGTTTTGTTTGATCAGGTACATTAAAAAGGAATACTATGGGAAAGAATTTATAGCACCCAGAATGCAGCATGGTATCCATTACAAGTACTACAAGGAGCAGTATGTATAGACACTTTATATTGACCACTGACCAACCTCTGTTAATCTTAAAGTAATCTTGTAGGATTTCGTAAAAGAGCATACCTAGGTTTGACTCTCAGGTTACAGAAATTTCATATGTAATCATAGTTAACTAGTGCATTATCAATGCAATTTTGCATTTTTTTTGCAGGAATGTAAATGTGTAATTGGCTGAGGACAACCAGGTTTTTATTGCAAGTATTCGAAGGACTGTCACGTGTTGTTGTTTTTTCATATGACACAAATAATTAATTCCTAAACAGGACACAATTTGTATGGTCTTAGAATGTCAATTGCATGTAAATAATGTTACTTTTGCTGTAAATCTAAAATGCTCAGTAAACATATTCTATCCATAAATTAATCTTTGAATGTGTGTGATCTTACCTTATGCACATTAGCATTGTTTTTCACGGCTTCCGTACTAATTCCAAAGGGACTTCGTTTTGAAAGAATTGTCACTTGCTTCTGAAATGTGTTGATCTTGTGTTTGTTTTTAAGAGCATGCTTGACAAAAGTAAAAGTGGACACTATGCATGGATAGAAATTAAGAAAGGCTAACTGGCTAAATACTTATGGCTTCATGTAATACATATTAGGGTAGTTTTCATAAGTCACACTCAGGGGTCATTTCCTGCAGGAAAGCCTCACCCCCTGCTCCCAGCAGCCCTCAGTCAGAGCAAGAAGCAGCCAGGTAAGTTGCAGAGCCCCCCCCCCCCGGCCCCAAACAGGCCAGTGGCACCTTTAAGACCAAGTCTTATTCAGGGACAAGCTCTCCCTCCTCTGCGAGGACAGATCTGCACGTCCCCCCCCCCCAATAGCTAGCAATCCAAAACAGTCCAGTGGCACCTTTAAGACCAAGTCTTATTCAGGGACAAGCTCTCCCTCCTCTGCGAGGACAGATCTGCACGTCCCCCCCCCCCAATAGCTAGCAATCCAAAACAGTCCCGTGGAGCCTGAGCGGTGGGTGTTGCCTTCTGGCACACTTCCGGTGATGTCAGGGGGCGTTGCATATGCAAATGTTATGGTAATGAGTTATGCTAATGAGCTCCTGCACCCCTTTTTCTACAAAATGACCCCTGGTCACACTTATATCTTTGTAATTCGAACATAAATTTGATTGGAACGTACATTTAACATTGGCTTGCTTAGCCTCTATATTCTATGTTTGCAGTTTGCTGCATTCACAAGTAGTATAGGATACAAAGCATTCTTTTTTGAAAGCATCCTGATCATAAACGTTAGGCCTACCTGTGATGTGTGGAGGATACTTTTGACCCTTAATTTGTTTTGCAGATATATAGATTTAAGTGTACCATTTAATTACAAAAGTTGGCATATTTGGAACCTAATTAATTCTTGATACAGTATTTTCTATGTAATATTAAGTTTAATGCTTAATTGTGTCCAATAGTATTCCTAACTGGTAAAGAATCCTCTAATAATACCTACATGTAGATTAGATGAAAGAGTAGGACTGTAGACTAAATAGCTGGCTCAGTTCTCAGGAGGCATTAGTTTTAGAGTAGAGCGGTCATGCCTCCTCTCCTTCCCCATAGTGAAAATTATTGGTTCAGGTTTGAGCCCCATGTCAGTGTTCCCTTTCTATGCTATTTTAATTCCTTTTCTAAGTAGGTTTTAAGCCTTCAGTTGCTCCTCTGAAGTGGTTTACTTGAAGATTATAGAGCAGTAAAGGCAAAATCTTCCAACTACCCTTGCAGACAACCTATTGAGCATTTCTCTGAAATTAAAAAAATACTGCTTTTGGTTTCTGGGAGTTAAATTGTTCAGCAGATGCTTATTCACTTTTGTAAGGTCCTAGCAGCATCCCCCCCCCTCCCCCTTACAGGTGCTGGACTCCCATTAGACTAACAGCTTGTCTGCTATTTTCAGCGCACATTGATGGGATGAGGCTTAACAAGCCTTATTTGACTTCCAGCCCTGGTGTACGGATTCCCTTCCTCCCTGAGGGGAAAAAAATAGTAGTGATGCGTCATTCCTCATTTCCTCATGATGTCAATAAACCAGGGAAGAAGAAGAGATTGGATTGATCCCCCACCCTTCACTACCCAAAGGTGTCTCAGAGCAGCTTACAAACTCCTTTCCCTCCCCCTCCCCACAACAGACACCCCATGAGGTACGTGGGACTGAGAGAGCTCTGACAGAAACTGCTCTTTTTTCAAGAACAGCTCTTATCAGAACTACGGCTTGCCCAAGGTCATCCAGCAGGTGCATGTGGAGGAGTGGGGACTCAAACCCGGTTCTCCCAGATTTGAGTCTGTGCACTTAACCACTACACCAAACTGGCTCTCTGCTGGATCCAACCAGTGGTCCATCTAGCCCAGTATCCTGGTTCACACAGTGGCCAACCAGTTGCCCTGGAGGACCAACAAACAGATCATAGAGGCCAAGGCTGTCCTCTGATGTTTCCTTCTAACACTGGGTTTCAGAAGTTTACTGCCTCTGTATGCTTAACACTTGGAATTCACTGCCACGGGAAGTGGTGGCGGCTACAAGCATGGACGGCTTCAAAAGGGACTTAGATAAGCATATGGAGCAGAGGTCCATCCGTGGCTATTAGCCACAAGGCTAATAGATAGTATAGATAGGGACTCTGGGGCAAGTGATGCTCTGTCTTCTTGGTGCTTGGGGGGGCAACAGTGGGAGGGCTTCTAATGTCCTGGCCCCACTGGTGGACCTCCTGATGGCACTGGTATTTCTGGCCACTGTGTGACACAGAGTGTTGGGCTGGATGGGCCTTTGGCCTGATCCAACATTGGCATCTCTTATGTTCTTATGCGGAAGTTCCAACTCCTCAATTAAAATTCACTTGGATGTGATTTCAGCTTTTTCATGCCTTGGGGTTTTTTTTAAAAAAGACCATATTTTCTCATGAGTTGGAAAAAAGATTCCTTAAAGGGCTTCATAATTTATGCCCATCTAGAACTCCCATTTTACCACCAAGGTCATTATCATTAATGCAAAGAAGAAGACGAGGAGGAGGAGGAGGAGGAGATTGGATTTATACCCCGCCCTTCACTACCCAAGGGGGTCTCAGAGCGGCTTACAAACTCCTTTCCCTTCCCCTCCCCACAACAGACACCCTGTGAGGTAGGTGGGGCGGAGAGAGCTCTGACAGAAACTTCTATTTTTCAAGGACAACTCTGACAGAACTATGGCTTGCCTAAGGTCATCCAGCAGCTGCAAGTGGAGGAGTGGGGAATCAAACCTGGTTCTCCCAGATTAGAGGAGGAAGAGAAGGAGAAGAGATTGGGTTTATACCCCGCCCTTCACTACCCAAAGGAGTCTCAGAGCATGCCTCTCTCCTCCCCCCCTCCCCCCCCAGTTTAGGTCCAGGCAAACACAGCCGCCCAGAGACCCTTAGGGGTTAGGGCGGGATAACAAATCGAATAAATAAATAAATAAAAATAAATAAACACCTTAATGGGCGAGTCTGTTATGGTCTTAGAATGTCAATTGCATGTAAATAATGTTACTTTTAGGAGCTGTGGTGGCTCCAGTGGTTAAGACGCTGAACTGCAGGCTGTGGAAGGTCGGTAGTTCAGCAGTCCGAGACCCGAGTGTGCCGCATGACGGAGTGAGCTCCCGAGGTCTCTAGTTCCAGCTCCTGCCAACCTAGCAGTTCGAAAGCAAGACGTTGCAAGTAGATAAGTAGTAGACCATCATTGTTAACATCTATTATCAATGCCTACTGGGAATGTTTGGGCTGTGTTAGGGTTGTGGTCGCCCTCTCGGGATTTTTGAGATTCTGGAATGATTGTGGTTATTGAGCACTTTAATTGTTTTATTGGTTTTAAATTGTATATGTTGTTTTTAACTGTATTAGAGTATTGATGTTTTATTAGCAAGTTTTTTCTTGCCTTGTTAGCCGCCCTGAGCCCTACGGGGAAGGGCGGGGTATAAATTTAATAATAAATAAATAAATAAATAAATGCAGAGGTAGGCATGAGCACCACATCCCTAGAGTCGGATTCGACTGGCTTTTGAGCAAGGGAAACCTTTACCTTTACCTAATCTCTGACATCCGGAGCTGCAGTGGCTCAAGTGGTTAAGATGCTGAACTGCAGGCTGCGGAAGGTCAGTAGTTCAGCAGTTCCGAGACCCGAGTGTGCCGCATGAGGGAGTGAGCCCTCGCCTCTAATTCCAGCTCCTGCCAACCTAGCAGTTTGAAAGCAAGTGACAGCGTCCTGTGCGCCTTGGTATTTAGTCATGCCGGCCACATGACCACGGAAACGTCTTCGGACAGCGCTGGCTCTTCGGCTCCCCGCAACCCGGACTCGACTGGCTTTCGAGCAAGGGGAACCCTTTACCTTTAATGTTACTTTTGTTGTTTTTCAAATAACAATTTTATTTTATTTTAACACAATAAAAATACAATATTACATGCTTCAGTCAAGGAAGAAATATGGAGTATATGAACAAACAATAGAACTTACTTATCATCCTCTTGGGAGATTGAAAATTTTGGAATATTATGCTATGGATAAAATTTCAGATGCAGCTGTTAACTCCAATACCATATATCCAAAACCTAACCTTCACTTGAAATGGTTACCTTTCCTAGAATATATGTTTAATTCAGAATCCACTAACTTTACTGTTCCTGAGAAATATTTTGATGTTTTTCACCATACGTAGTCCACTTCGTTTTCACGTAAGTTCTATTGTTTGTTCATATACACCATATTTCTTCCTTGACTGAAGCATGTAATATTGTATTTTTATTGTGTTAAAATAAAATTGTTATTTGAAGAAGAAAGAAAAATGTTACTTTTGCTGCAAATCCAAGATGCTCACCTTTCTGTGAGCTGCCAGAGGGCAACACGAGGAGGAGGAGGAGGAGGGAGTCTCAGCGGCGCCCTCTCGCTCTCCGCGCGCCTTCCCAGCTGGCGCTAAGGACGCGCGTGCCGATTTTGCGCGCGCGCCCTGCAGCTCAGTCCTTTCGGCGGGCGGGGCGGGGCGGGGCGGGGAGGGGGGCGGGTATCTCCTGCCCTTTCAGGCCTGCCGCGCGACCGCCCAGTGGTTCCCCACCCCCACCCCCCAAGGGAGACTCCGCAGCGGCCGCCAACGGCTCTTCCGCCGACCGCGACAGGCGTCTCTGGGATGGAAGGGAAACGGCGGGAGTCTGTGGAGGGGGAAGGTGAGGGGGAAAGGGAGGGAAAAGCCCGGGGGCGCTGCAGTGCGCTTGCGTGTGCGTGTAGGGGCAGGGGAGGTGCAGGCGGGCGTCGTGTGTCCTGTGCGTTGAGAGTACACAACACACACCCACACACATACACCTAGCAGCAGTGTTCCCTCTAAGCCGTAGGAGTCCTGTGAGCAGAAATCCTACTT